GTCTTACGCTAATGTTGATGGAATGCAACATTCTTGTCCAACAAACATACAAACTATGTGCAAGTCTTTTATGGATTATTCGATATCCCATCTCGAAACATCCATCGACTTGGAACTGTATTTAAGATCACGGCTTTCAAGGTATGTTCCATGATCACCATCTCTATGCGCAACCATCCCTTATAACCATAAGTGATCTAGGGATTTTATCTTAAGTGCAATTATAAGATAAATGCTTTCTCTTAAGATAAAGAAATGCCTTATTCATAATATAATTCCAATAGACTGTATTTACAAGTAGAATACGTCCAATTAGATTGGAACGTTGGGTACCCTACTCTAACACAATGTTCACCATTGCTTTATGGGCAGAATTGAAACTTCATAACAAGCCCATAGGTCTATTGAACTTTAATAACTTCTTTCATGGTTTGCTTGGATTTTTAGACATAGGAGTATATCAAACCTTTATATCTCCTTCAATGAGAGAAGTATTCAAATCTGCTGACACGTCTGCTGAACTTATCAAAAAGCTTCAAGAATGCATCACATTTCAAGATTCTGTGGAAACACAAGGGGTCAAGCGAAAAAGAGCTTTTGATCCTTTAGATCTCTCATTATGAACCCAGATATTATTCAAATATGAACCCAGATATCATTCATGGGTGGCAGAGTTACGGAGTTTTACACTCTCGAGACGCACCCTTCTTTTATGGGTTCTATTATGTAATCTTTGCGTATTTTGTATTCATCGAGTATTTACTGCCTCTTTTCCATATTTCCACCATCTGAACATTTTGTACTTGTTTCTCAGTAATATTAATATCAATTTCGATTTTTCTCAGTGTATAGTAGTTCATGACTACAATCATTATCATTTGTGCTTCTTCCGGAGCACTTTATTGTAATATCTGTATGATCTCGTATCCCAATGTGATCTCGTCATCTGATATAGCCCCTTAGACTTATATAATATATTGAGAAATCATTTTTGTGTGATCACCCATAGCTGGTAGCTTTTGATACCACTTTCTCATTTTGTTCAATCATCCAATGGTAGCTTCTAGTACCATTTCATCACTTTGTTTAATCATAAAGTGGTAGCATCCAGTACTACTATACCATGATATTATTTAATCATTATGCCATAACTACCGACATCACATTAATCATGTGGTAACTTATAGTACCATCTCATCAATGTTCATATCTCCATAAATTTGGAGAATTTATCAACTGATACTTCAGGACCAGGTTAGTCCATATAATGTTTGTTCATGACAAGGACTTTAATTAACTTTCACATGGTCAGATACAAAGTATCATTAATTTCACTCATTGGCTATCACTTAATTTGTACTGCCCATTGCCGGCGGCAGTGCCGCACTGGCCGACCCATGTATATGTATAGCCATTCATTTCCTTTTATATGTATATTTGTTTGCACATGGCCATTCCATATCACCGGTTATCATTAATATGTTTTTCATTTGGCCATCACCGGTCATTATTATTCAATACACTTATCATCTGGCCATCACCGGTCATCATTATTCAATACATTGACCGGTTCACTTAGTTGATCAAATCTTCTTTTGTATTGTCTATTTCAGTGGATACACTGCTCGACCATTTCACATGATTTTACATATTTCAACAGTTGACCCGTTGGCTAAATATCACTTGCCGGCGGCAGAGCCGCACTGGCCGGTCTATGTAGCCACACATATTTATTTTTCATATCACACGGGTCAATCTATAAATATTTGCATGTTCACATACCAAATAATTTTCTCAATAGAAAATTCAAACATTTCATAATACCAATATATATAATTTAATAAACTATATCAATATTGGTCTTAAAATGAGACTATCATTAAATAGAGTAATATGCAGTCAATAAAAATATATTTCAATAATTCTTGTTTTTATTATATTTGAAAATCATGATTCTATAGTTAAATGATCAAGTAATATATATCATATCAATATCCTCTTAATAATTATATATGAGTCTAATAAATGTTTGTGTTGGAACTTGGATTGTGTTAATTAATATGGACAGCTCACGCTAGCTCATAGTCGGCCCATCCAATTTGATCCAATTAATACTAATATTCTAAACAATTAACCATTCAATATATGAAAACTTTTAATAATTAAATCATGAGAACAAATAAATGATTATTTGCCCAACCTATTTGATCTTTAGTTTATTAGGAGGTGGGTGTTGAAAGGAACCTGTTGGAGCCACAATAATTCATACGCTTACTTACTGTAGATGTTGCAGTTCTTTGTAATCTGAAGCGTTTACGTCATGTTGATTCTGGGAAGGGCCTCCTGATTTTTGTATAGGCTTCAGAGGCACATCAGCTGGGTCGTCCGACCTGCCATATGACGGAGCAGCAGGTGCTTGATGGTTTCATGGAGTTCAAGGAATCCATGTATGTGACCAGGTTGGAGGCGCATCCCATATGCTCCACCGCAGGTTCGGTGTCTTCCGCCAAGGCCAAGACCGTGATGACTGCCACGATTGGGGAGGAGAATGTTTTTATTTATTTATTTATTATTATTATTTCTCTCTTTGGTTTTTGGTAAGGATCACAAGAAATAACGAGTTGTAATAATTCGATTTCTGATACAGAAGATCGTCTATAAGACGCAACTGTAGAGCATACTCTCGTCATATCGAACTCTAGAGGGTAGAGACTCGTGCTGATAACGTGTTATAAAANATATATATATATATATATATATATAATTGCTGGCAAGCTTCACTAAATTTTATTCAGTCACAATTAATAATAATATGAGTTCATTTAATAAAAATAAGTTCAACATTTAATAAAAATCTTTATGACTACCATTCAAATGACAGTTACACAAATAAAACTTTATTGTTATTAATTTTTTATTCTGTAACAACTTTACAAGATTTTAAATTTTCTGAATATATGATATTAAATTATATTTTTACTAATATTCCTATTTTGTATTATAATTATACAATAAAAAAAATGATTTATACGTAAGTTAAATAATTTATATTTATATATAGTCAAAATTTTAATATGGAATACACACTCTATCTAATTTAAAGTTTTAAATATCACTACGTAAATATAATATATAAAATTTTATTTCCCTTTGTGCTTGTGCACAGGATCAAATACAAGTACTACAAGAAAAAAGGCATTTAGTGACGCTTATTTTTTGTTTAATGACGTTTATTAGCGTCACAAAAAATTTACCTACACTATTAAATGTGTCGCGAGTTGCGTTGCTAAATTTGATGTCACGAAATTATCTGCAACGCATAACTTTAGCGTAGGTACTTTTTGATACGTGACGCTTTTTCAAATGTGTCGCTTTTGTAGAATTTGTGACGCAAGCTATATGCGTCTGTAATAGTGCTTAATGTTTAATTTAATGCGTCATCATTATAAATTTTGACGACACACCCCAAGTGCGTTGTAAATTTTAAATATGACACTTTATTACATGCGTCGTTATAACGAATTTTGATGACACAAAATTTATGTCAGGCCTGCAACCTGGCCCGTTTCGAGGCGGGTCGACTTGTCTGCCTCGCCCAAACCAAATTTGACTTTGTTTTTTTTATTATTACCCATTAAACCAGACGTGTAGAATATAAATTGGAGCACAAATTAAAATATTCTCATCTACTAATATTCTAGCAATCCAACAAACAAACCAATAGTCTTCAATTCAAAATACAAATATTCAAACATGATAAATCATAAAAATTAAATAATATTCTAGCAATCCCACAAACACCCCAATAGGCAGAGCCACAACTTCAGGAGATACTTGTACTGAGCGCTATTAGAAAAGATCAATATACAATATCTAGATACCCTCTTTGCCTTTGCTTCAGCCTCATTTGGTAACTTTTTATCCAATTTTTACATTTTCATGCATGTTGTGTTTAATTTTTATTAGTTAGTGACATTTTCATGTACTTTTTATCATGACTTTCAAATATTATCATTATTTGAAAATACGTTTTAATTTACAACACATTTGACAAAATTCCTAAATCATCAAAAAAAAAAAAAATCACAAAATAATATTAACCATTTATCTCATTCATCGCACGTGCGCTTTACTAGTATTGCAAAACAAAAACCTTGAAGGTATCATAGTTGTAGAGCTGTACAAGGAATTTCCCTATTTGCATTGTTTGCTGATCTGCAACTCCAAAGGCCAACCCCAAGCCTACACCTTATCCACTTTTCTCAAATTTGGAATCAATAATACAATCCCCAAGTTTCTCCGCAGCCTCAAGTTCTGCAACAATTGATGTAGGACTCTTAAGCATGCATGGAAGGCAATACAATACTTTTCAGATTGCTTAATTCATGAAAGTCTCAGGCAGTGCTCTTGATCTACGTGACTAGCCACTAAATCTTCAACACTGATTCGTGTTTGTTTCTTCTTCTTGGACGGTAATTGTGATTCTGTAAGACAACAATGCTTAACATGATGTCCTTTTAGACCAAACAAGTATGATGGAACTCTAGTATGTACAAAATAAATATTGTTTGGTAGCAAGATGAAAATGATATTCTCAGTAGAAAGACTGTTACTGAAAATTGATTTACAATCAAGATTTTGAGTACATGCACAAAATGCAATCAATGTCATGCAGGAAACCTACTAACAGAAGAATTTGACCAGATGGTAAAATTATATATCAACGAATCAAGTTTTNTCAGGATGATTAGGACGGTAAAATATTAAGCAAGAAACAAAGTTATTTATAAGAAAAATACCGCTTTAATGGGAAATCTAATTTTTCGCACAATTTACTTACCATTTTGTACGCCAGAAGAATCTTGCTTTGCCAAGCTTGAGTTTGCACGACGACAGCATAACCATACTCTTTCATCCTCATTTTCAGATTCTGATATAATTGGAATATGCCAGTGGCCTTGTGCCGACTCCTACAAAGTTAACACATATAGAGAAAATAGGTAATTTCAATATCTTAGTGACTATTCATAGGAAGAGGGTGCCAGAAATTTTTGGATTGAAACTCTTCCTTAAGATAAAGATCTACTTGCATTTGCAGAGAAAGTTTCCAAATTGAATGGTGATGGCAACAAAATTGAAAAAGATAGACAAGCAAAAATGAAGCATCATTTGTAGAAAATGTTCTCTCTGAATGAAGTCCTGGGATCAATTACTGATAATAAAAATCAAAGCAAAATCCATAAGGTCCAAAAACAATGTTACATTAGATAAGCTACACGTTTCACAAGTTAACATACATTGTCCTAAAAATTTATACAAAAATTACCAAACAGGGAAATATTGCTGCATCACATAACCCCAAATTTGAATTTCTGATATAACTGATCTTTTATCAGTTTGTAGCGTATAGTCACATGCATGCTCAGGTCTATCCATACCTAAGTTTCTCAACAACTCATGTTTCAACCACCCTACTATAATCTGTTATGTTATCTAGTAGCCAGAATACATAAGGACGAAAAGAATTAAGCAAAAAATAAACCTTTATAACAACAGAACATGGAGGTGGCATGCGAAAGGCTGGGCCAGTTTCTGTAAAGCTGAAATGAACCTTCAAAGTAAGAATAAATAAGAACCTATTAGGACATGGTAGAATACTACATACAGTTTAGCTGATCTAGTTTTGGGAGTGGAAATCCCTTCATCCATTAAACAACAAGTGGCAGGACCATCAGGTTTCTCAGACTACTGTACATATAAATTCCATTATCCTCTCTACACTAGAAAAAATGAATAGTGAGTGGGTATTAGATAAATTCCATTTTCATCTACTCAAGAAAAACATAGATTATTAATGGTGTAACTAGAAATATTTTATTGAAATTTTTCTTTTTTCTTTCACACATCTTAAGAAAAATTTGAAGATGTGATTACAAAAATAATAATGAGTTGGTGGTTTTGNGTCCAATATCTGATAAACATCAAGTCAAACGAAAAATAAAATAAAATAAAAAATAAAAAAACAAAAGAAAAAAAAAATACAAGGAAAAGCTGACAACAAAATACAAAGATAAACAAATCATGGTCCGGATAGAGTCCCCGCGAATGAGTTGGTGGTTATACATATGTAGGTGTATAAAAGGAATAATGTAGTGCAAAAAAAAAAAAATTATCCAGAAATGAAAATGACAGAAGTTGATCCGCGTGCCACTCATCTAATTTTTTTGTTTCTCCCTTAAATTTTATCAAAACACTTTCCAAAATAGAACTCACTCATTTCTAACATATTTTCCATAAAAAAAAATAATCATTCATCCACTCTCCACTCACATATTTTCAAGGGTAGTAGCAACCACAAACCTACAACTCCAACTTTATGTAGGACCTCACATGCCACGTCAGAAATAAAATTCTACTATTTTTAAAAATCATTCTCCATAATCTATCATAAAAGTGGGTACACAGTGTCTCTCATCCACTGTAGCGCTCCATTTGTTCCGGAATAATTGGATATTATTATTTGACATTTATTTTGTAATGCCCATTTGAATATTAGAATTTTCTGATTTTCTTTGATTATGTGATTATATTATATTATTAAGTGGATAATATAATTATATTCTCTGTTAAATTCTATTCAGTAATCTAGCCAGTTTAGAATTTTATTCTGGTCCGTTTATTTTAGAAATGGATTTTACTAGTAGGGATTAATTATTTTTATTGTTATTATTATTATTATAAAAAAAAATTATATATATATATATATATGTGTGTGTGTGTGTGTAATTTATTTAATTCTTTCTTGATTGTTATTTTATCGCGCGATTAAAACCGAGCCCGAGAACCAAACCCGCACAGCCACCCAAAAACCCGGTTCATTTAATATGTGAGTGTGTGCGCGTATGTTTTCTCTTAAAAATCTAGAAAAGTCAACAAATTTTTATATTATGCATATATACATATAGTCTTGTATCTATCTTCTTCCTCACATGGCAAACACAAGATGTATCTATTTCTCCTTCACGTGAAGCAGCATCTTGATCTGAAAATCACTCTCCAGCAACATGTTTTTCTTCCTTCTTAAAATCCGATCTCGATCCATTTTTTTTCTCTCATCTATCCCCTCTCATCATCCTCATCGCCATCCCCCATCACTATCGTTGTCGGCGAGCCTCTGCAACTCCGACCGCCATCACCATCGTTGTTGTTCCTGCTCGCGAGACGCCACCGCTGAAGCCGACGACGCAACTCCTCCTCCCCGTGAATCAGAGAACACAACGCCCAGCCAACCACCTCGCCGCCGCGACCCAGATTTCCGGCGAGTCTGACTCTTCCGCAAGCAGCATCTTCGCCTCGACTTCTGGCGACCAACTGCTGCACCTTCGTTCCTGGCAAGACGCGAGAAGACATCGAGCCAACGTGCCGTTCGTCTCTTTTCGTTTCATTTTTCCGAGTCCCGTTCGGCCGAGCCGTCGTTTGGCCCGTTTTTCCTCCGTTACTTCGTGAAATTTTCGAAAGCGGGTAACCCATTCGAACCCTCTCGTGATTCCGGTCGTGTTCGTATATTACGGGATATATATATATATATATATATATATATATATGTTTATATATATATATATATGTATATCATACGTGTTATCGAATTTTTGTTTGAAGTTGGATTTATTTCGAATGGCTTACCGTCTCGTATATGTCGTTTCGTTTATCGTGATATGCTCGTGACCTTCTTAAACCGAATATTATGTTGTTGCTGTGATTGAACCTCAATGTGCTCGTTTATTTGCTGTCGAGATAGTATATTGATCGTTATCGAGCTTAGAACATTTGTTATATAAGTCATTGTTATTTTATGTAGAAACACTTTAATTGCTGATCTGTTGTGCCGCGTTTTAAGCTATCTTAAGCTGGTTATTTGAAATTTTGGTCTGCATGAGATATGTAGTAAATTCAGTTTTCTATATTTGGGCTTTGGAATTTCTCGATTCCGAGCTATATCGAAAAAGTTATGATTTTTACAAGATTTGTTGTAATTCTAGTTTTTCCCATACCCGGCAGCATATATGCGTTTAATATTTGATCTATTTTTCATGTCCAAATGTGCTCGTATGAACTTACACTTTTCATGAAAGTTATAGATCTGTCTTTTACCTTTCAAATGATATAAGTTGCATGTTGATATGTACTCTGTGGCTCGACTTATGATTTTATGAAGTTAGATATGCATGAGTTAGGAATTATCATGTTGGCAGAAATATGGAACTAAATGTTAACCGCTTGTTGACCATTCAAATGAGCTCATATGTTTCTGTGTTCTAAAAATGAAAGTTGTAGCGGAATGCTTAAGGTTTAATTTGAGATTTGAACCATATCATTTAGAGGTATGTAGCTCTAGATAAGTGTTAAAAACTGAGGTGATGTCCATGTCATATATTAAATCCTGACAGGTTTTCTGAATCTCATGTTTTGTGTTTAAACTCATTGATAATGTGATTATTGGCCAATGTGATCTTCAGCAAAGTTGTAGACATTTGCGTTTCCTATCATGTGCATTTTAAATTTCATTAATAGCATGCCTGTAGCCCCAGTTAGATAGTAATTACTGAAACCTGATCAAGTTTAATTTCTCAGTTTTAGACTGTGACTCAAATTTTAATGTTTGTTGATTTATCACCTGTTAAATGACCTTGTTTGCTTCCAGTGTCTTCATGAGAGTTGTAGTTTCATGTCTTAGGATTCCAATTCAACTTGATTCATGGTCATATGAGTTATATGCTGAGAGTTATGTCGATTTTAAAAACGCTGCCCGGGTCAAGTTTTTAAAACTTATGTGATATTTTCGAAAATGTGTTTTCTTTTGCTTTGATGCATGTTTAAATGGTTATATGAACTTAGTGGGGCTTAGCAATTATAGAATATTCTTTGATAAGACTATTTTAATAATTGTAGGTCCTCGCCGCCTACCCTTGTTGTGTTAATTCCGAACGCTACCAGGTGGGTTCATTTATGTTGAATCTACATTTATCGCACTTGTTATTTCGTATAAATGTTTGTCGCGATAGCTTCTGTATGCGTGAGAACCCTAGTCTAAGTATCCTGACGGTAGTGCCTTTGACGAATGCATAATCAGTGGAAGTCACATGCCCGTTGTATCCGGGAGGTGGGCGCCCGAATCCATGTAGAGCGGAGGGGATTGTCTAAATGCCCGGATCGTGTAGAGCGGAGGGGTAATTCAACTTCACTGTCTCCTGGTAAGATCCTATGGCCGTTGCATCCGGGGTGGGAGTGCTTCCAGTTACATCCTCGCCGATGTCTGGTCGAGAGGTTTGTTGTGTGTACATAGGAGGTTAGCGATAGGGCCTAATAGGGAGTTAGATCTGGATTCTATGCATACATTATTTATGGTTATGGATCTTTATGCGAAATATACTGTGCGGTAATGGTGAGTATGATGGTTGTACTCACCCCCATTTACTTTTCTGTCCTCTTGTTCCTCTTCCTATCCTTTTAGGTTGAGCATGGTTGGCGGCGGCAGCGAGGGACGATCGAGTGGTGGTCGTTGGATTGTGCTTCCGCTTTTCTTTCTATTATCTTGATAGACCATTTGTTTAACTTTGAATATTTGTGCTTCCGCTTTATTTATTTCGAACATGTTGGAATATTTTATTATGCATGACTGGTTTGAAGTTTATGGATAACTTGAAATTTTATTTTGAACTGTTAGATTTTACCTGTGTAAATGTTTTATTTGTTTTAGTTGTTTAAGTAGCGCCCGTTGAATGTTAAAGTTTTAAATTGAAATTTTGCGAAAAAATAAAATAAAATAAACTCTGATTTTTATAAATAAATTCGATAAATTCTTTAAAATAAAACGGCGCGTTACAGTATGGTATCAGAACTTGTCTGCGTTTCTGTAGACTATGTCTAGTGTTAGTTTATTTAACGACCACTCGACCACTCGCTTTCGTCTCGCCGCGCCAACTAGAGGTATGAATTGTATTGTTTTATTTGATCTTATATGGGGCTTAGGAATTTATCCACCTTTGATTTAAAGTTTGAACTCTAGTGTTTCATGGCGAATTCTAGACTTTCCTTATAATTTAATGTGCTAAATCTTTTCGGCCTGTTCAATGTAGAACTATGGCCAATTGTAATGCTCACATTGCTCGCAATACTCGTAACCGTCAACCAACCCCGACTCCATCTCCTCCTCGTCAGCAGGCCCCTCCTGGAATGGACTTTACGAGGCTCATCGTCCAGTTCCAGAATATGCACGCGCCCACCTTCTCGGGAAGTGAGACTCCCATAGCTGTGCTGGAATGGATGAAGGAGTTGGATAAGATCTTCGTTGTCCTTCCTCTCCCAGACAGACAGCGAGTTGCTCTTGCCGCCTTTCAGATGAAGGCTGATGCTTTTGATTGGTGGATCGACCACTGGGCCCGGAGGCCAGAGGCCGAGCTCAATGCCCTCACCTGGGAGCAGATGAAGGCAATGGTTCGTGGCAAGTTTCTGCCCCAGAGTTTTTGGGATCGTATGGAGCATGAGTTCTACCACTTGCAGCAGGGCGATAGCAGCATAGATGAGTACATCTGCACCTTCACCCGGATGTGCGTATTTGTCGGTGACTTAGTGAACACGAATGAGAAGAAGGCCCACAAGTTTCTGAAGGGGCTAAATCAAAAGATCCGTGAGCTGGTCGGGAGTCATGG